ATCGCGCGTAAATATGGTCGATACACGATTTACTAATTTTGTCTCTGTATAATTCAATTCGCGTGTGAGATGCGATCCCACATAAAAGGCCTGAGCTATGCAACGTATTATTGTATTGATGTTTTATAGGATTGTCCAATTTCAGATCGATATTGACGTCTCCAAGTAGATATAAATCATTTGCTGTGTTTCCGTATGTGTTTACTATATTGTGCAGTTCGTCGATAAACAATCTTTTATTAGTATGCGGGGGCCGGTAAATAGTGCAGATATTTGCTGTGTATTTTGTGTCGGTAGTTATTGTTAGGAATATGTTTTCGCAATGTGTTGTTTTAGGGTATTTAATGTTGCACTTGTGTTTACTACTTACATATACGATTATGCCGCCGCCCTTTCTAGTTTTTCTGAGCGCTGTTATCATTTTGTAGCCATTTAATTGATACAAACAACTGATTCTATCTTGAATGTTAGCTTCTGTAAGAATAATTACATCGATAAGTTTGTTAGCTGAAGATATACACTGTTCTAAGTTCGAAAAGTTTTTGATAACCGATCTTATGTTAAGATGTACACATAACAAATTTATATTGATACTAGGAAGTATAGACAAAAACTCATTAATATTTAAGCAGTCGTTAATCTCATGGATATCCTTTGAAAAGTTTTCCATATTTATGTTAATTTTACGTGGTTATGTATTAAGTTAAAAAGTTTAATAATAAAATTCAGTTACTTTTGGGCGGGTAATTTAGTTTTTTTTATAGCTAATAAATCGGTCCTTGTCCTTATTGAATGAATTTTAGCATTTTCATCCTTCCGTGCTTTTACTGTTCCATGTTTAAACCACACGTATTTGTAATTTTGGTTTATTTTAAGTTCCTGCTTAGTTTCCCATAGCAGAGATTTATTCGTTTTTGTCATAGCTTCTCTCACATAAATAATATTACAATTGTTTTTTTCCGAGGGACAAATATCCGATACTGTGGTTTTTATGCTTTTGGCGGCAATTAGCCATTTTTCCTTCAGGTCTTTGTTTTTCAGTTGCACCTGTACCGTTATCGGTTGATCTTTTCGACCTGCAACACGTTCGACGTTCATAACATCGTCCGAGGTTTGTTTAAGTTTACTTGCAATACATTCCGTTAATGTATTAAGTTCTTCCGTACCTTGATAGGGAATATTGGCGATTTCGATGCAATTAGAGAGGGTATCTTGTTCCATTTGTTGCAGGCGCTGCTCCAATACACCAACGCGAGTCTCCAGATTGTTATTTCTGTTCGTAAGTTCCACGTTTTTTCTCTCAAGTGCTTTAATTGTTTGCTTGAAGGTGTCTATCACTTCTACAACTTCGTCGAGTTTCGAGGTCTGCATTTGAAGAGTTTCGTTTAGATCGCGCATTTCATTCTGTATTGCTTTTTCAATTTCCTTTGAGAGGTCTTTCAGCAGTTTGCTTGGGTTGACTTGTACGATGTCATCTTCTTCATCAGAGCCGACATAGGAGGAATTACGCCTCGGTGATTCTTGCTGACAATCCAAACATGTCCACTCCAAACTAGGGGCTGCCTTAAGTGCAGCAATTTGTTTGTTTGTTAGACCACTGCATCTAGTGGTAAGATGCACCACTCGTTCACATTTACTGCATTTCCAACCAGGGCTAGTTTTTGTAACAGTTTTTCTACACACATCACACTTATTCATTTCGAGGGTAGACAAAGGTTTACTGCGTGCGTTACTGGCGAGCGCTTAGAGACGAGTGACGAGTCCTTGTCAATCGCACTATATAGCACTCGTTAAATATATCTTTCGTTACATTAGCGTAAGAGTTCTCGTTATTAGTTATTTTATTACGACGTCTGTAGCCTTGGTTTTACATGGCGTAGAGAAAGAAATATAAACGAGTTATTATAGAATAATATACTTCAATAAAAACCCAATCAATATTCTGTTACACAGTATAAGCATGAATAATGCCGAAAATATTCTCAACATAATCTTCCAAAGGGCGACTTTAAAGCGTCTCAAATTATTTATCGCTAAGCGCCCTGAAAGCACTTTGGAAAACAAGTCGAGCGAAACAATTAAAGCTACAATCATTTACTGCGTGCCAATACAGTTTTATTACTTTAGCTTTCAATCTCTACATTATTTACCGGCTGTGAAGACAAGTATTATGTTTTTAGTATAAAGAAAATATAAGAGCACGTTGACGATCACAAAATAAAGTTTGAATATTAATGCGGCTTTTAAAGTGCAAGGACAATGACGGCCTATTTATTTGATTCATTTGTTTTCACATTCATCTATTTATTCTTTGAAATGCCAAAGTTACGTACACACAGAGAATAGTGCATGAAGGACAAGAATTATTTTTAAAATGCTCATGTGTTTTACAATATCCTATTCACAGTAAAACATATATAAACACGTATAAGCTTTTATGCAAAAATACATGCTTTTGGACAAAAAAAGTTATCTAAAATAATTAAGTATAAATCTAATTGTTTCGGTACTGACTTTGACATCTTAGAAATGTTTTATTTTTTATGCGCTGTCAAACAACTTTGCCTTTTATATATAAGGAAATCCACAGACTGAAGTCGAAACGATTAAACTTCGCGGTCGTAAGGACGGAATTTTGATATTCGTACCGCGCATTCAATATCCAGATTTCTGGATGAAATCCAACATGTTTTACATAATCATAATTACTCGCTGGAGATCGAAGTCACAACTCATGGATTATTAGGCATATATCAACGCTATGCATACTTATAAGTTAGGTACATAAGAATTATTTTTACTATAATTAGGGTAACTAGTTAAACATGTGTACCTAATTAGTAAGCCTTATTAAATCAATAAAAAAATATTGATACAATATGCCAACGAGATTATATAGTGCCCTCAACGTGTAAGTTTTTGATAATTATAAAAAGTATAGTAATCATATATATATATATATTTACCATTTCTGCAGTAATTACAATTACGCATCGGAAACCATAAATATGAATATTTTTCCTTCGCCTATTAGTCACAGCAGTTCTATGGCCTTGATAAGATTAGCACATGAAGGCACTATATAATTAAATTCGACTCGGGCAGGACTTGGAATCGTCAGCGTTCCGTGATGTTGCTCTACCAATTGAGCCACCGAGTCCCACCCGAGTCGAACATTTTTTCAATTTATTTTAGATTTTTGAGATTAGCGCGTTCAAACAAAAAAACAAACTCTTCAGCCTTATATATTAGTATACTCGTTCTATTGCTTCGTTACGTTGGAGACTATTAATGTTAAAACGAGCATAATTCTTCATTACCAGCAATTAAATGCGAGAAATTTAATCGTTTAAAAAGTAATTACAAGACATAAAGCATCGCTTTCCTATCTGCCACACGCAGAGCAATATTCCCAACGGACAAAATGAACGATAATACCACTCATTTTCGCGCTGTTAAACCGAGGAAACGCTAAAAACAGTCCCATAAAACTACTCGGTAGCAATTTCTATTAATTAAATCCTTCTAGATATTGTTACGTGAAATTTATAGCTGAGAACATAATCACGGCTACTCAAGTTGTCTGAAAATTTTAATTACTCAATTTTAAACTGAAAATTTAGATTGAATAAAATGCGACACGGGCGGGATTTGAACCGGCATCCCCACCGTTTCACTCCGCTCTAATGGCCTGCCGTGCAACGCTCGCGCAGAAGTTATACATGAAAAAAATCTTTTGTTTTGTTCTCTGGAACACGGGGCGAACATATTTTTGTGACCGTTTCACTAGTATTTTTATTTTGTAATTAATTAGATTACGATTAAATTCAAATTTATTTTAATTGATATAGTATTAAATACTTAAAAATCGTTTTCTTAATATACCATATTCAAAATATTCAGTTTCTTATTAATAAAAATAGGGAGCTATTTAGATATGATTAGCTTTATGCTTATGGAAATTTAATATACGATATGCTTAGTGGATTGAGGCGATCTTTAATATTTAATTAAGAGCTTAATATGGAGTATGTAGGTTAGATTCACTAGTGAGGTTATGAGATTTTGGCTGTAGCATCCGTTGAAAGTTATATCTGGTTTATCTAGATTAATTCGAGTTAAATATTGTAACTAGTTTTAGAATCTTTTTTTTCGGCCGAAACTTGAACCGCAGCCTTTGTGCTGCTAATACAACCTATTGTGGTGCCGTGTACTCCACGTCATCGTCAGCCTTTGTATTAAAGTACATTAATGATAAATATAAAACCCAAACCATTTCTTTGAATAGCGTGGCTACTTTGACAAGAGTAACAAGTATTCCAATTGCACGCAAGCGTAAACTTAGCGCCATGAATTCAAAGAATCCCCGATAAATTCCAAATTCGAAATTGGCGTCGGAACCTATGTTCGGTCGCAATCCAATGACATAACTCCCATTGTGCGATTTATTCCACTTTACGATATACTATATGTGTTAATGTATCCTCGAGTTGATGGGGTCATACAGGTTGCCATGGCAACAGCACACGCTGTGATCGCCTCAGCTTTAACGTAGCGATGAGTGGAAGCATTTTGACACTTATTCCAAAGACATAAGGCGTACTGTAAAAGCATTGAGTTTGTAAATTAGCAGTCTGTACGTGGGCAGAATGTTAACTTAGCCCATCAGGTATCAGTAATAAATTAAGAATGTTTACGCGCCTTTTGTTTTCACGTTGTTTCTTTTTTAGGGTCGTGTTAAATCACGGCTTTTTTATGAGTAATGCCTTCAAAGATATGTTATTTATATGTCAGAGCTTGTTTTATCACCACAAAAAAACCTAATTTTGGGATAATTCGTTGGCATCACAGCTAAATAATGCTACAGCGGCCACATTACGCTGTGTGATATAATTAACCGTTACTCGTAAAAAACTAGTTAGGTTAAAAAAAATCTGAATTCTGAAACTGAATTCTTAAGCTGAACTTATTTTTTTTAACAGTATTTTCTTTTTTTTCAGATGGATTGGCACCATACACGATAACCTTCGAATGAAACTTACAATGAGTTGATAGGCAGCATGACGCACAACAGCACAGCCTTCATCGGAGGGGTCCTCATTCTAAAAACCCTGACCGGCGAATCCATTGAAGTCCTGGAAGAACCGAAATCCAATAGGACAACAGACATCATCGATGTTAAGATAGTTCAGGTTGCATTCTGCATCCTATACTCTGTGATCTTTATACTAGGAGTCTTCGGAAATGTTCTCGTCTGCTATGTGGTCTTCAGGAACAAGGCGATGCAAACAGTCACAAATCTATTCATAACAAACCTCGCCTTATCCGATATTCTACTGTGCATTTTCGCCGTACCCTTGACGCCTATGTACACATTCCTCGGACGATGGGTCTTCGGGAGGTTGTTATGCCACTTAATGCCATACGCCCAGGGGACCAGCGTCTACATATCCACACTCACCCTGACCTCGATAGCTATAGATAGATTCTTCGTGATTATATACCCGTTTCATCCCCGCATGAAGCTTAATACTTGCGTATTCATTATAATATTCATATGGCTGTTCTCCCTAGTGGTCACTTGCCCTTACGGCCTGTTTATGGGGATACAGATTACAAACAACAAGACATACTGCGAGGAGAGCTGGCCGTCTGATAAATCTCGAAAGATATTCGGAGTTTTCACAACTGTCTTGCAGTTCCTCATACCGTTTCTAGTCATAGCTATTTGTTATACGTGCGTTAGTATAAGATTGAACGACCGGGCGCGCTCGAAACCCGGTGCAAAAAATACAAGGAGAGAAGAAGCGGATAGAGATAGAAAGAGACGCACGAACCGAATGTTGATCTCGATGGTCGCCATATTCGGTATATCGTGGCTCCCGTTGAATTTAATTAACATTTTCAACGATTTTTATGCTCAAATGACTGAGTGGAATTATTATTACGTCTCGTTTTTCCTCGCTCACTCGATGGCGATGGCGTCTACTTGCTATAATCCGTTTCTCTACGCCTGGTTGAATGATAACTTCAGGAAAGAATTCAAACAAGTCCTCCCGTTTTTCGAGTCAAGTGGGGGAGTCAGAAATAGTTATCACTCAGGGCGGATGCCTACGCATAAGGCGGATAAAATATGCAATGGTAATGATACAATACAGGAAACGTTATTAGCTTCTTCTTTTAACCGAGGACCGTCGATAAAACAGAAGATATTAGAAGGAAATGGGAAGAAAGAGGGCGTGGAAGTTGAGAATATTCTGCTTGAAGATAAATCAATTTTGCATGCGAAAAATGAACTCAATTTGCAGTTGATTGACGAGGAATCGCAATTTAATGAACCAAAGGAGACGATCCTGTAAGTATAGTAAATACCTATTTTTATATAATCTTAGTTTTAATAACAATTCTAGAGTCTTTCTTTTAAGAGCTGAATCAGTCCAACCAAAAATATAGTGTCCCCAGGATTCAAATATGAAACAAAACATCACTCTTATTAATTTTAATTGTTCATTACTTAGTTCGAAAGCCGTCAATATAATCTTGATATACATGGCTTAGTCTGTGACATAGTAATTAGTCCCGAAAATGCAAAGTAAACCAACTCCTTGACAAAGCGAAGAATACAATAATCTCGACATGAACTCGAGTTGAGGGAGCAGCTGAACAAATCTCTGGAATGTTTGCACTCAGTCATGCTTCCGTGACAAATCCTGTTTGTACACCCGGTTTCACTTAATCCATTGTTTGATTGATCGTCTATAGACCGTTGCTAAAAGAAGACTTGCTTTTGGAACATGAAAATTTAAAATAGTAGAGTTTGAATATTTTTAAATTTTAACACGACATCGACGATTCATGAGAGAATACATAGTTAAGGACTTCAGCGCATCTTCGCTTTCCTTTGAGTGAACTCTATGCTTGTTTATCCCCGTCTATCACCTATAAAAAGTATTTAATAAAAGTTTGTATTTGAATTTATAAGTAGAAATTGAATTTACCATTAGTATACCAACTGATCTATTTTTATTACAAATATTTTGAGCATTATTTGCCCGACACATCTCGTTATTTTTATTTACCTCAATTTTAATATAAATTGCGTTTATGTGTTTTATATAAACGCTGAAAATAACACATATATACTTGTCGGTCAATATTAAACGAAAAAAAAAATAGTCTACAAACACTTATGATTTGTTTTCATGTAAGAGAATTTGTATACCTAAAAAAGTTAACACCTTAAATGTTGCGCGACACGCTAATTCGGTTACTACTACTAATTACAGTCAGAGCAACAGCACGGATCGCTGGGGATGTCGGTCCAAGTACCCGTGTCGTAATTTTTATCGATCCAAATAGATTTTTAATTTATCTTAAATGTTGGTAGATACGATGGTTATAACAGTGTTTGTATTAATCGTGGGAGCCACCTGAACTTGAACGTTCTTTAGATACGAAAAATCCCGTGGTAAAAAACCTAAGTTTCTATCAATAGAAATTCAGCCAGGCCATTGTTAAAGTTATTATTAGAAACAATAAGCAATAGATGTTATTTCAAAGTATTACTACGTCATTCGATATCTACTGTGCTATGACGTCAATGCAGTCATTTTGATTATTCGGCGTTATCAGACGAAAATGTATTTATCATTCAGATTCAGTTAATGCAGTTGTTGATATAGATATTGTAATGACGTAGTTTTTCGACCAGTCTATACTCAGTTTCCGGGTAGAGATTAAGGCTGGGATATGGTTGTAATATTAACTTTGATCGTTGCCAATTAGGTCTATACTACGAAATATATGAATATTGATTGTCCTTTTAGTGCATGTAGAGTATTCCTGGCTCGATTTAAAATAATATGTAAGAATTTTAAAGTTTTTTCATTCACATTTGGTTTAAATATAACACTTTAACGGTTTAAGACGCGGTATATTTTAGTTAAACTTGTTTGAAAATTATTTTTAACTACGGCCCGACGTTTCGGATGTTTTGCAGCAGCCGTGGTCACGATGTCACTGCTGCAAAGTGTTTTATTTAAATGTATACTACTCGTGTAAACTACAGACACTATTACATTTGTTTTTCAAAAATTAAAATTCGTACGAAATAGTAAACTAATCAAAAGTATTTTTTTTTTGATATTTAAGTTAATATATTTCCGTTTTAAACTGTTTAATTTTAAGTAGTTGAGGAGTTGTAGTTTTAGTTTACATTCTGTATAGGTTCAATGGCCAAAAATTCTATGATGATTAGCAAACCCTTTTTGCAGCCCTAATGTATACAAATATATAAAGCTGAAGAGTTTGTGAGTTCAAGATGCCTAAGAAATATGCATTAACGAGTGATTATTCTTTAAATGATTTAAAAAAATCTAAGTATATGTCTAACTTTTAAGATTAACTTGCAAGAAGGACGGAATGCGGGCGACGACGTCGTGTGTAATAGCTTTCATTTTTAAAGAGGAAAAGGTGGTTTGCTAAAACATATTTTAATGCCCACAATAACAATTCCACGCGGACGAAATCGCTGACACAGCTAGTCTTTTATAAAAAATCTAGGCACTTCACCTTGTAACGAATACTTCGAGGTGATGCGTCAATTATCAAAGGTTAGAAGTTGTCTATTGACACCTAACACTGTCTTAACTACTTAGACAACTTGAGCAACGGCAAGAAAATCCCTTAATTAAAACCCTATCATTCTTAGAACAGCCTTATATATTTTTAGAAGACCTTAATATTTTTATTTAAATTTAGTTCATTTGATAATAATTTAGATGTTATAAAATTTTGTATTATATTTGTAGTGTCTGTGGATTAGACAAGTTGAACAAATTTAAATTAAATAATTTTAAATGTGCAGTATACTATCTTTTTACTTTTGCTTTAACTAGGAGCCGACGCTTAGGATGCTATGTAGCAGTCGTGGTCACGACGAGGGTTTTTTTTTAATGCTATATTATTCGCTATAGATGAAGTGTCATATTTTCTTTTATTTGTAGTCTAGTCTTTTACTACTGTATATTATACAAGTTTTAATTGAAATACATTAAAAATTATTCGAACTCACATCAGCTATTCATCCGGTTGGTTTACCAATAGGCTACCTGATACAATTCCCAAGCTTGAAGCAGAAGTTTTTTTTATTGTGGTATAAGTGACGTACTATTAAAACTGGTGTTGTCGTTACAGTGTTTAAATAATATTTTAAATGATTATAATTTTGTTTCAGGCCCTCGAGCAACGAATGAACGGAAACCTGTCAAAATCTAGGCAATTATGGAATCAATTTAAATGTAAATAAACGTTGAACCTTGTAAATTTTATGTAAATCTAATTAATTGTGATTAAAACTGAATGTAAGTTTTACGCAATCGCTAATTAAAGCTTTTAAAAGTTATTTTGCCTCTGTGATAGATTTATTTAGTAAAAGTTTAAGAATTACGAAGTACATATAGATCTTTTTTCTATAGATCATTATATATGAGATAGATTATAATGTAATTATTAGATTATATTTGAACGAACCATAATTATTTAATACAAATAAAAGTGTAGATAATTAAAAGCCTTCAATGCATTTTCTCGTTCTTTAAAAAATGATTAAATTTTGCTTATAAGCTTTCAGAATATGAAAATTTATTATCAAATATGTGGGTTTTACAAATAAAATAAAACACTTTTAATAACGTATGAAAACTAATATTTTTCACATGTTATTGCACGTTTATATAATTTAAAAATCGAAAATACATTTTAAAAAATTTAGACTCTGGCAGGACTTGAACCAACATCGTCAGCGCTCAGTACTGTTTGCTCTTTCTGACGCTGGCGATGCCGGTTCGAGTCTTGCCCGAGTCGAAATTATTTTCAATTTATTTTCGATTTTTTCTCCTAATAATTCAAACGTTAGTTTATTATTTTTCAATACTACCCGATATTCAGTTAGGCTGTTAAAAGTGTTTTAGTTTAGTCTATGTATATAATATTTTCAGCAAGTAGGTATCCTAAAGGCCTATTATGATAGTGTAGATATATTATATATAACGTTTAATTTGTTTCTTTACAAACTTACGAGCCCAGTTTCAAATCGGATTTTTCGCTTTTCCGATTTGAAATTACGAGTTTGCAAAGAAACACTTTGATGTTAGCTTAGTAAATATATAATAAAGTAAGCCTTTATGTACATATTAGGGACCGTTTTGTTTTTAAATTTTCATCGACAGATTGTCTTTAGATTAGGCCGCTTGTAAGTTCTTGTTAGTTGTAAGGAATGTACAAATCCAATTAAGAATAAAAAGATATTTATTGTAAAACTTGAAAAGTTGTTAACGTTTAAGTAATATATAACTGTGTGTTGAATTCTGAGGATGGAATAAAAGTTGAAATTTACGTTTATTTTTCCTGTTACCATACTAACTCGAACTAAATTAAACTAAACCAATTCCCGAGTAATTTCAACGCTAACCTTATAGAAACTAAAGTGGAAAGTGTTGTTATATTCGTTATTGTAGGACAGAAGCAAGACACAAAAAATAAAACTCAATAATTTAGTTAATTAAGAAGTAAGCAATCAACTAAAGTAGTACATTTAAGCCGATTATTTACGTTACTTATAAAATCCATTAAACCACATTTAGGTAGCACTCTCAAATACTACTTGCGTAACATATAAATTTCCTTTTAAATAAAACACTTTAACGGTTTAAATGCGCGATATATTAGTTAAACTTATTTGGAAATGATTTTTAACTTCGGCCCGACGTTTCGGATACTTTGCAGCCGTGGTCACGGGGAGACATGTGGGGGTGTTTGATTTAAATGTGTACTACTCGCGTAAACTATAGACAGTATTTATAAATTTCCTATTAAGACACAAATATATGCGTGTCTGGCAGTAAGTGGACTCTAGTTTCCTGACTTTTTCAATTATTTATTTATGACTATTTTTGTTATTGAATCCAGTTGATCAGATCATTGATCACCGGACAGGAACCATTTAAAATCAAAATCAAAAATTCTTTATTAATTTTATATACATGGTACAGATAGAGAGTCCCTAATTCCCACACTAGGATAAGCCTTGGGTGACTAGTCTCTTCCAGGTTACAAACAATAAATCAATAATATCTAAGCTAACTTATGTTATGATGTATCTGGCACAATCCTTCTAATACACCAATAGATCATTTTCTATTGTTGACACGTCATAAAAATAACTGAAATGACTGCCTGACCAGATATCATATTAGACAACGTTAATGATTTCACTTATCACGGTAGCATTATATTAATTAAAAATATATTTCGATTGAAATAAAACTAACGCCACGTTTAGAGTAGCAGCACGGAACGCTGTGATAGCCGCTTCAAGTCCCGCCCTTGTCGTTTTTTTTCCATCTTAATAGGTTCTTAATTTAAATTACCACGCTTAACCACTCAACCTTTTTAACCGCAACAGTGACATGTACTTTAATTGATAGGCCACTACGAACCACAAAATTAAACTAGTTCATATAGTGCCTGAATAGCCATATTTATTCATAGCCACTGTTTTGATATAGATCGATCATACCCACATTCTGTCGCTACTACGAGGAATTCTGAACATTACCTAATAACGTGACGTCACGTTCCCTATAATAGCAATTAACTGTTTGATATGTACGATATAGATATAAAGCTTATTTAAACTTAACATCTACTATTAAGTTAAACAGCTAGTGCTGTTTGTACGCCAGACTTTTTGCTCGAAGGTTCGAAACATGTTTTTTTTAATGATAGACATCTTTCAGATTATTGTTGTTCAATATTTTAAGTGTGTAATGTTTTTTTTAATCTTTAGTGTTGACTAACTGTTTCAAACGTGAATTATATTATTTGAATAATTTTTAACTACAACTCGACGACTGCAGTGCTCTACTGCCCATGGTAGTAATCGTGAGTCATAGTTTAAAATTAATTAAATAACAAAGTTCTCTTTTGAAACCGACATGTTTTCCTTAAATGCTGAATGCTATTAATATCTTCTATTATTAAATGAGTCACAGACATATCGTTGAAAACCACAGAGAAGTATAAATTAAATGCCATTTTTTAAGGGATTAAAAAAACCCTTTTGAAATATAGAATTCATTTGCATCGCTCGTTAAACGTAACGACGTCATAATCGTTACGCGTAACGTATGCGTTAGAGGCGGAAGCATGTTAATGTTTATAGCTACACTTAACTGATTCGAAGAGTTATTGATTTACTAAGAGCGTTTTGCGATTCCTTTACAATAAGGAAACGATACTTGGCAAAATCGAGAATTAATAAAGTGAAAATATTTAATTGGATTTGTACGTAACGGTTCAAAAGATTGAGAAATGACGCGAGCGGGTCTAATAACGCCGGCCATCAGCGTAAAGTGTTTTTCGTCATCTAACTATTCTCAATACTATTACGAGTATGTATCCGCTATTCGAGACCCTCTTTTGAATTGATATTAACTTATTTAGTATGTTAGGCCTAATAGTCACATTAATGTAAGTTTATTAGGACCGATGTTTCACGCAAGAAATGAACTTCGGTATAGTTTGCACCAAAATCTGTAAGTTTTGCGCAAGAGGTGCATGTGCATAGGTTACAAAAAACTTGTCGATGACGTGTAGGACTCGGTAGCGCAATTGAGATTTTTTAGATCAGTTAGCGGAGCATTAGATTAAAGAATCTTTTTGGGTAAAGAAAGTTAAATTTTCTAGAAAGTATCTTGAATAATCTGTCCGCACAAAATTATCGAATTTAGAATATATCTTTTGTTTTATCAACTATATTCTATATTGAATTATATATAAATAAAGGAGTGTAAATGAAATTTAAATAAATGGTAAAAATTTCTACTGTAGCCCAAAACTACTGCAGATTAAGTTTATTAGTAAAAGCTGTAATACACAAAATTTAAATCAGCTAGCGATGGAATCAGCTCGGCGACTCAAAACCGTGATTCAGAACAGACGGAAATAAACAGAACGATCCACTAAGAAAAAATTACTTTCAACGGGCGTCTACGAAATTCGTAGCTTGTAGCTTCATGCTACGATCGACGTAGCGCATACGCTACGCTAACTTATATGTTACAAAACCTTGAATAAAATAAAGTTAATCGTGAATAATTTAACAGAACTTAGCGAACTCGCTTATTCTATTTAAGTTTCTGTAAAGTGGCAAACTTTGCCTTTGAACTAGCGAGAAATATCTGCTGAACTCAAGTATTTGTCATTAGGTAACAGTTCGTAATAAATAAATTTGTATTTAAACAAGGTTAAATGAATTTATTAAACAAATTAAATGTCGCGTACCAATAACGTGCATAATTAAGTTTAATGGATAACCAATAATAAATTGAGCAAACATGGTATTAAAATTAAATTCATTTTTAATAATTTTGAACTTTCAAGAATAAAAATGGTATTATGGTGTTTAGTATCAGGGATAGCTTGTAAGTTGGAAGATGAGGTAACGATTTTTAATTTAATTCCTTATTTAATACTAGCTGTGTCAGCGTCTTCGTCCGCATTTTGCGCATCCAAATTTGTTTTTGCAAACCTTATCTTCATTTTTATAAGTTTAAGCTGTTACCCATGACGGCTGTTTCTTCGCACCTTTGTTTAGTACCGCGATGTTATATGCTCAAACCAACACAAAAAGAAATGTTCAATTCAACCCATTAGTTCCTATAATTAGTTCGTTCAAACAAACTAACAATATCTTTATATATTTGCATTACATATAAGTTCTACACTAATAATGATATTCAAGGAGATTTTTCAGATTGCCCATTATGAAAGTAACTGTCCATTGATGTAATATACTACAAACAAACTTATATATCAAACAGACTTTCAATAATTTTAAAATTACTTGATTGTGCAGACTAAGTACTCTCTCTTGAATGATACTAGAGCTTGGATCTTTGTATTTCCATAGTAAGATGATAAAGGAGCAAATAGAATAGATATTCACTCGGGATGTGCTTGTATTTACCATCAATCATCTTGAAGAGTACATTGATAAATGACGCCTGTTGCTATTCTGTACACTTGCTAATGTAAGGGTTGTGCATTTAAGGGATCTTCTATTTCAACCTGTCACAGCGAAATGCTTTCAGAAGTATCATTGTGTCAATGAGTCTTCTATATTGCTAATAAGTTCTCCTTTGAGACGAAACGATTATCAATCAATTTGTTTTTTTTTTTAGATTTAAACAAG